ATATAGACATGTCTTTTTTTTTAATTCAGTCAGCAATCTGCATGTTTTATTGTTGTGTTTAGCATATAGACATTTAAATAGATTATTGGTATATATAAGTTTGAATCTTTTGCTGTTTTTTGTCTTATCTGTACATTGTCCCATTTTCATCTTTTTGCCTTCTTTTGAATTGATAGACAATTTTATATTTCATTTTACATCCCTTTGTGGTGTATTAGGCACAACTTTTATGTATTGGGTAAACTCTTTTATTATTTTAGTGATTATTTTTAGGTTACTGTATATGTCTTAAATTCATCGTGGTCTACCTTCAAGTAGTGTTATACTGCTTCTAAAAGAACCTACAAATGTGTTTTTTCATTCCCTTTCACCTGGCCTTTTATGTTGTTTTTGTCATACGTTTTACCTATACATGTATTATAAGCCCTGTAAGAGTTTGCTATTTTTTATTTTGTTATATTTTAAATACATTTAAATATTAGAAAAGTATATATTATATGTACTTATGTAGTTATTATGTTATTTGTTTATAGATCCATATTTCTATCTGGTCTGATTTTTTTTTCTGCCAAATTTTTTTTTTTAACATTTCTTGTAGTGTGTTCTGCTGTTGATAAACTTTGTAGATAATGAATTGAGTGATTTTCCAGTCAAGCACATGGGATCCTGTACTATTGTAGGCCCTATGAGAATGCCAAATACTGTTTAATTCTTCCTGACGGCGTTTTTCCCTGTCTCTGATAGTCTTCTCACATGCATGCACCAGTCAGTACTCTGCTTGGTGTGGAAGACTCTCCACACATCTCCAGAGCTTTCTCTCCATGCACCACTCTCTTCTCTGATTCTCTGGTCTATGAACTCTAGATTAGCTCTGTCCTTTAAACCCTGTGAGTCAGCCAGGTCATGTCGTCCTTCACCGTGGCTTAGAAATTCTGTTAAGGCAGTATGCTGGTATAGTAGAGGGATGCTAATACAGTTTAGATATTCATCCCTGCCCAAATCTCATGTTGCAATGTCAACCCCAGTGTTGGAGTTGGGGCTGGTGGGAGGTGTTTGGATCATAGTGATGGATCCCTTATGTATGGCTTGGGCCATCCCCTTGGTAATAAATGAGCCCTTGCTCTGAGTTCACAGGAGATCTGGTTGTTTAAAAGTGTGTAGCACCACCCCCACTACTCCTGTATTCGCCATGTGGCATGCCACTCCCATTTTACCTTCTGCCATAAATAAACTTCCTGAGGCCTCCTCAGAATCTGAGCAGATGCTGGCACCAGCTTCCTGTAAAGCCTAAAGAACTGTGAGGCAATTAATCTTTATAAGTTACCCGGTCTCAGGTATTTCTTTATAACAATGCAGGAACAGCCCAATACAGACGCCTTAACATAGTTCCAAAGTCTAGGTGGCTTAGGCAACAGAAATGTGTTTCCTCACAATTCTGGAGGCTGGAAATTTAAGATCAAGGTGTCAGCAGGCTGCTTTCTTCTAAGGTCCCTCTCTTGGCTTGCAGATGCCCACCTTCCTGCTGTGTCCTCAGGTGGTTTTTCCTCCTTGCTCACATTTCTGGTTTCCTCTCTGTGTCCCGATTTCCTCTTCTTCTTCTTCTTTTTTTTTTGAAATGGAGTTTTGCTCTTGTTACCCAGGCTGGAGTGCAATGGCGCGATCTCGGCTCACTGCAACCTCTGCCTCCTGGGTTCAGGCAACTCTCCTGACTCAGCCTCCTGAGTAGCTGGGATTATAGGCGCGCCACCATGCCCAGCTAATTTTTTGTATTTTTAGTAGAGACGGGGTTTCACCATGTTGACCAGGATGGTCTCGGTCTCTTGACCTCGTGATCCACCCGCCTTTGCCTCCCAAAGTGCTGGGATTACAGGCTTGAGCCACCACGACCGGCCCCGATTTCCTCCTCTTATAAGGACATCAGTCAAATTAGATTAGGGCTCACCCATATGATCTTATTTTACCTTTATTACCTCTTTAAAGGGCTTATCTCCAAATACAGTCACTTTCTGAGGTACTAGAATTAGGGCTTTAGTTCATAACACTGGGGAAATCATGGAGCTTATTCTGATTTTTTTCCCAGGGACCACTGTCATTTCTTGCCTGATTCCAGGATGTTGAAAATCACTGCTTTATACATATAGTGTCTACCTGATTGATTGATTGATTGATTTAGGCAAAAGAGCCTTCCCAGTCCCTGTTATACCCTCTGGGTCAGCAACAGGTCCTGAGCCTGAGTTCCTGATCACTTCACTATACTTTTTCACATTTACTTTTCATAAACATGCGGAGATTTAGGGGTCTGCCTTCTGCTTATCTTTTAGTCTGAATTCAGTGATCACTTCCACTAGGAAACGTTAGGAAACTCTGACTTAGAGCCTGTTACAGTTGCTTCCATCATGTCCTGTAACATCGCAGACCCTATAGTTGATTATATTTGCTTACTTGGGTTTCATGTGAAATCATAATTTCTGTTAATGCCAGGGCACAGCCCAGAAACTGTCACAGTGCCTGACATGTAGCAAGTACCCAAAATATTTGTTGAGTGAAGAGATTTTGTTTGTCTACCTTCCATGCCCCACATCATGTTTTGGACAATTACAAATTACTTAGGGTCTGAAATATACTAAATGTGAAGTATGGATCTTTTATGCCTTTTCATGAGTATAGACATTTTGATGCACTTAAAGATATCTGAATTCTTCTCCTGTACTATCTAAGACAAGGCCACTCTTATTTGGTGGTTCTGGTAGCAGCTACCTGACTCTGACTCCTCTCCCCTCTCCCATCTCCCCTCCCTCTCCTATTTTATTTTGTTATTATTATTATATATCTGAGGAACTAGAGAGGTTATTATTATATATCTGAGGAACTAAAACATCATAAAGTTAGTAACTTACTGGAGGATAAAAGCAAATCCCAGAATCAATTCATTACAGTGACTGTGCTTCTTGGATTGTACTTGGCTTTCCATACCTTCTAAAGCTTTTAAAACAAAAAATATCCCTTAAAGTCTTGATAAACTTGATTATTCTAAGGAGACCTACATTACTCCAAGCCTGGCCTTCTAAATATACTACAAAATAGCCGGGCGTGGTGGCTCATGCCTGTAATCCCAGCACTTTGGGAGGCCAAGGTGGGTGGATCACGAGGTCAAGAGATCGAGGCCATCCTGGTCAACATGGTGAAACCTCGTCTCTACTAAAAATACAAAAAATTAGCTGGGCATGGTGGTGCGTGCCTGTAATTCCAGCTACTCGGGAGGCTGAGTCAGGAGAATTGCCTGAACCCAGGAGGCAGAGGTTGCAGTGAGCCGAGATCGTGCCATTGCACTCCAGCCTGGGTAACAAGAGCAAAACTCCGTCTCAAAAAAAAAAAAAAAAATATATATATATATATATATGCACATTACAAAATAAATAAATAAATATCCACTATTTCTCAGTAATTTATTGGGTAAATTTTACCAAGTATCTTTTTTATTTGACAATTAGGTCTTTCAATGTTTTACTGTTCTAATGTGATTGTACATCTTTTACCTTTATTATTAGCTTCCTAGGTTCTTGGAGCCATTCTCAGAATTAAATCACAGTATGTAATCTTTACAAAAATCTGGTTTGACATAGTACTTCCCATATTCTAAATCTTCAGTTTGAAAAAATTGTGTGTGTACACACACACACACACTTTTTGGAATGCAGCACACTTACAATTTTAGAGCTTTAAACATTTGAGTTTTTATAATGTTTGATAAATCTCTAGTCTGTTATTAGCATTGGTTGACACATTACAGCTGTGAAAGGATTAGAAGCAAAAGCAGTGACCTGGAAGTAGTTTAGCCAGGTAGACTGGTGTTAATCAGCCCAGCTTTGGAGTGTGTTTTATAGAAATATACATGTCTATGGCAGTCTATCCATGTCTTTAAAAATATGTAATTTCTTTCCTAATTCATTATAGCTCAGGCTGAATATACATTAGAGTAGGTATGTTTTAGAAAAATCCTAAATGTGTACAGTCTATTATATCATCTGTAGATAAACTTCATACAGATACTTCAGGATCATCCCCTGGCAAAACCAAATGGGCCACATTTATGTTTGTGTGTTCTCACTACCTTCACACCTTACAATCCTGTGTCATTTCCTTGTGTTCTCCCAGGACTGAGTGAATTGTCATCCAAGACTTTATTGTTCCAACAACTGCATCAAAACGTCTTGTACATTTGAGAATCTTCTCCAATTCAAAAATAACAGTTCTCCTGTATAATTTTATGACCTATGTTTTGGAAGGTGGGAAAGGGAATAGTAGATAAGGACCCAGTGGATAGCAAGGTATCTGATTCATTGGGTCTGAAACCAAATAAACTACGCTTCCTCAAAAAAAAATTAATAACACATTAATAACCAGGTCTCTCCATCCCATCCCAACAGACCATCATAACCATTGCTAATTTTCTGAGCATTCACTTTATGCTAGGTATTCTCCTTAGAGATTTATACAGATTACATAAATTTAATTCTCACAGTTGTGGTAGTGGTAAGTACTATCATTAACCTAATTTATAGCTGTAGAAACTATAATAAAGGTTAATCAACTTTCTCAAACTCACACTTGATGTAATGGGATTCAAATCTGACTGAAGTATGTTTGTATCATCCCTCCTCTGTCTAGGTACCTAATGCCTGCTCCTCAGCTCCAGCTGGGTCTGTCTTTTTCTCTAGATCTTGGAGCTCTTATTTTTCTCTTGATATGGGGTAATAGATTATTTCAGCAAACTAATTCTTGCCAATCTCTTTAACCTTTAATATGTTTCCCCCTTACTTAGCAATAGCATCCCTCATAAAGAATTAAAATATGTCAAAAATGACAAGGATTCTGACAAACTGATGGGAGAGAGGAATAGGGCAGATTGTAATAGGAACAGATGTGTTCGAATTTATTAATCCTTTAACACTGAAGGTGAACTACTGCTGATTGCCTCATGGTGTGTTTCCATCATTTAGTGCCTTGCTACGTGGGAATCATTCCTTACATCACAGACCAACCTCCACTTGGAAGAAGCCTCTGAAGATAAACCTTAATCCCATTCAGGACTTCTGTTTGATCTTTGGGAAACAGCATTTATTAACCAAAGTACTCTTTCTGGATCTGCCGTGTCCCTTATCAAGTGGATGAAAAATGCTTTGTACCATCTGGAAAACCAACAACTTGAAACCTCAGATATTCCAGGTCACTGAAATGAATTTGAAGACATATCTATCTGCATGGGTATATATCTATATGTATATAGATATATAAATACAGAGAGAGAGAGAGAGAGATTTTGCTTGGTTTTAATTATGTTCTTAAATTTGTGTGCCAATAATTGCATATAGATTTTTTTTTTTAGATATTTGACTGTGGAACATGACATTTTAAATATGTTGTAAGGACTGTTTTAATAAAAAGTTTAATATGAAGTGGCTGGCTGCAGTGTGTTCTTTTCCTCCCCTAGTAGCTCAAGCCTCTCAAACATATTCTAAAATGAGTTCAGCATGTGTTAACAGAAATACTGTGCATTTATTTTTATTTAATTATTGTTTCCTCTGAACTACTCAGTTTAATGTTAGGAATTCAAAGTAATATCCAAAAATTATTTGACATTATTAAAATTGATAACTGTTCAAAAATTGATTTGTTTGAGTTATTTCCACAGTTAAAAAGTTTCCATGATTTGAATTATTATTTGAGTTATTACAAATCCTTCTATAATTATATTCCCACTAGTAGATATATTTGGGCTTTTAAAAATTTTTTCATATTCTTAACAACACATATCTAGCTTTTATTTTTTAAGATATAGTGTTTATCAAGTTTATTTTCCCATTCATTTATTGTCTAGCTCATGCAAGTCACAGTTGTAGGTGCTTATGTTCTGTGGTGATGAAAAATATAATTTCAGAGCTTACGTTCTAGTAATATTGATCATACAGATTTTTTTCTATTAATTTTTGCTGATTTTTTGGAAATGGATACTTCTCAGGACTAAGTAAAATTTGAGGTAATTGGTCATGCATGCTGTCTTACACATATGACTAGACATTTAAATTGTTTGAACTAAAACAAGGGATTCACTTATATACACACAGCTGTAAATATAAAGCTAAACATTTTTCTTACATATTGGTAAATATAATTTTTAAACCATTTGTAATAAAAAGCTGGCTCCATTTTTTGACTTTTGTCTGCTAACATCTCCTAAGTCTCATTCCTCCCTCTTCCTCTTCTGCCCCACATCTTACAGGCAAGCTGCTTTGATAGCCCACGTGCTCCCTCCTTTGGCACTGACGGGAACAAAGTTCTAACCGTGTAAGCCCCTCCCTACATATGGAATCTACCCCCTAACCATCATAAAATCCTTATGGTCTCGTTTTCCAAAGGTCTCAAACCATTTTTGAATCAGTCTGAGGCTAGCCTTGCTCTTCCCGGAAAGCCTCATGGTGTGTATGACCCTTTTCATAGTCTCTCAGTGTGTTTGTGTCATCATGAGTCTTGACATCCCAAACAAATTTTCTGTGGGAGTCCTTCCTGTTTATCAAAATTGCCCCAAGAGTATTGTTTCGCAAGCTCTTTAAGCTTTTTGAACTTCAGTTTCCCCACAGGGAGGTAATGGAGATAATAATCTCTAACTCACAGATTGTTAGATGATATAGTAAACTTAGAAAACCTGGCAGAGAAACGATAGTCAATCAGATCATTAAATGATTCAGTGGGATAATATAAAATGTGCTTTGTTTTTAAGTGTAATGCCTTTTCCCCTCTTTAATGCACTGTATGCCTTTCCTCATTCTTCTCCTCCTTTTCCATCCATATGACTACTATCCCAAATACGTACCATGCATAGCCACACAGGTCACCCATGTTAACTAGCATGTACCCTTCCTTACACTTTTCCATGCTCATACTGTACATACTTACAAGTGGTTTTTCTCATTAATTTTAAAATGACATCATACTATACATGCTATTTTGCCTCTTATTTCCTCACTTAATATCTTCTGGAAAGCCTTTAAAGTCAAAAATAGCTCTGCTTTTTAAATGACTGCACAGTATATCATGAAATGAATCTATAGTAATTTATGCAGCCATTTTCTTTATTTACTTTCCTTTCACTTTTTCATCACTTCAAAAAGAATCCCCATCCCTTTTCACTGTCACTCCCTTAGCCCTCAACCCCCATCTCTCAAGGCCTAAGGAATCTTCTTTCTGTCTCTATATATTTGCCTATTCTGGGTATTTCATATTAATAGACTCATCTGTGATCTTTTGTGACTGGTTTCCTCCACTTAGGTTCATCAGTGTTGTAATATTTGTCAATGCTGCATTATTTTTATGGCTAAAAATATTCCATTGTGTGGTTAGACCCCATTTTGTTCATCTATTATATTTGTTTATCCTTTCACTGATGGGCATTTAGGTTGCTTCCAACTTTGGCTGTTATGAATAATGCTGCTATGAAAATTGATATACAGGAGTTTGGGTGGACGTATGTTTTCATTTCTCTTTGGCCCTGAAAGTGGGATTGCTGGGTTATATTATAACTCTGTTTAGCCATTTGAGGAGCTGTTGTATTGTTTTCCAAAGTGGCTGCACCATTTTACATTCCCTCCAGCAGTTGGATAAGGGTCCTAATTTCTCCACATCCTCACCAGTATTTGTTACTACTTGATTTTTTATTATAACTGCCCTCGTGGTTATGAAGTGGCATCTCATTGTTTTTCAGTTGTATTTCCCTGATGCATCTTTTCATGAGCTTATTGGCTATTTATATACAAATGTCTATTTACACATTTTTCCCACTTTTAAAATTGGGTTGTGTATGTTTCTGTTATTGAGTTGTAAGAGTTCTTTATATATTTAATATACAAATCTCTTATGGAATTACGATTTTTCACTTTCTTGATTATGCCATTTAAAGCCCAGAAGTTTTTCATTCTGATGAAATCCAAAGTATCTATTTTTTCTTTTGTTACTCATGCTTTTGGTATCATATCTGAGAATTCATTGCCAAGTATGAGGTTATGAAGACTTATTCCTATATTTTCTTCTAAGAGTTTTAGGGCTTTAGTCAATTTTGATTTAAAGTTTGTATGTGGTGCGAGGAAAAGGCCCAGTTTTATTCTTTTGCATGTAGGTATCCAGTTGTTCCAACATTATTTGTTGAGAGACTATGCTTTGTTTCAGAATTCTTATTATTGAACTTGGCAAAAGAACAAACCAAACACTTTAAAGAAATAGAAGGAATTGGCCAATTTATATAATCAAAAAGAAAAGGTTATATTTGGGCATAACTGCTCTTGAACAGGTGTCTTTTTGTTTCTGTCTTTAATTCCTACTTCTCTTGAATGGTTGGCCTCACTTTCTCCTATTGCTGTTTTTACATGAAGCTAATTCTGTAGTTTTCAGCTGGGGCAATGTGATTCCCAGGTGACAATTAGCAGAGCCTAAAGATACTGGTTGTCACACCTGTGGAGGAGGGTGCTACTGGTATCTTGTGGGTAGAGGTAAGAGATGTTGCTAAATACGATGCACAGTAGAGCTTCCAACTACAAAGAATTTTCTAACCCCAAATATCAATACTGCTGAGGTTCAGAAGTCCTGGGCTACCTTAATGTTTAGTAGTAGCTCCTGGCTCACAAGTGTCCAGCTTTGCTACTAGGAAGGAGAGAGCTCTTCCCTTCCATCTTCAATTCAGTTAAAACTCTTAATTGGCTTGGGATATAGCCAAGCTCCCTCTTATCCCCGCCTCCAATCCCTGTCTTAGGTCAGTCTTTGTGGCTAGGAGCCAATGTGCTATAATTAACACAGCCAAGATTATTTCCTACTTTTACACGTATTACGGTAGGCAGAGAAGTTATGACCAAGAGGAGATGGCAGTTTTCATTCAACCCGTTGTATATTTCACTCAACCACTATCTAAGGGGTTGCTTTATCCAGAAGAAAGAAGAGTACTGGGGAAGATAGAGTAGTACATGTCCACACTATAATATTGAATGAACCCACATTTTTATACAGAATTTCATTAGTTCTATATATTTATATAATTAACACTGTTATGCCTAAAATTCTTCAACAAGCAAGGACTCATGTAAAAATGGCTCTTCAAAGAATATTAGCGATTACAAGTGTGAATAAACCATTAGTCCAGCACATATAATTACACAGGAAGTCAATCATAATTGTATTAGCTAAAAAATAGCACAAGACTGTGAAATTAGAGTTGTTAGTGCACTCATCTATTAAAAAAAAAAAACCCTTTACATTAGAATTGATTGAATAAGGGGTTCAATGTGTAAGAAATATTCTTATGCAGAAATACTGAAGATTCCATTGAAACACATGAGTTGTTAGAACTAGAATTAAATTCTGAACATACTGTAAAAAAAAATGTCATTTTAGCATTTAAAATTCTGAGCTTGTGAGTTAACTATTCTAGGCCCCAATTTCCCATCTGTGGAAAAAGGGAATTAATCTGCCAGATCTACATCGCTGGGAAGTATAAGAATAAATTACAAACAGCTGACTTTGACTACTTACTTGGAATAAAAAAAGTTAAGTTCGGCCTCAGCTTCCCCTTGTTATCTACTCAATCTTTGAAACTCTGAATCCCTTCATAGGTGAATCCTGAGATCAAACAAACAATAGTCACATTTACCAAGGCATGTCCTAGTAGGCTATGTTCAGAATGTCATGCATATGTGTGAACAGAAATAAATATAAATATATATTTAAGCTCATATATAGATGGTATAGACGTGTTATGTGGTGTGTTTGTATGCATGTGTGGTGTGTGAATGCGTATAGTGATCAGTGGAAAAATGGAATAAAAATGGAGCAGGAAGCCAACTGCAGGCATGCTGTTAACTTACCTCCCTGTCTTCATGTATTACAGTTCGCCCAGATTTGAAAATGTATTTATGTGCCTGTTCTTAAGGTTATTGTGCAGTGAGATCCCTTAAAATGGGACAGCTATTCAAATGTGTTTGCCATCACTTTTGCTTGTGTAATTCTTTAAGGCTATAATTACATACGTTCAAAAGGGAAAAATTATACTTCCACAATTCCTGTTTATATTTCTCTTAATGTAAATCATGATGATTGAAGAGACTGTTTGTGCTTTTTATCTTAAAACATGACAGGGTAATCTTTCGGTAAGATCAGAAGAACAATGCTTTCTCATTTTAAAGGGAATCATCCCACAACATGCAGTTTAATAACTAATCAGAGCTGGTTAAATGAAGTGTTTGATAATTATGCATCAGAAATTTTCTTTCCTACTTGAAGCATTATGATTACCGATTTTAAGATTAAATTATTGTTGCTTTTAGATGGTTTATTTGAATAATCTGAGATTCTATATTCTTTTGAAGGACTTTGCATTAAAATATCATCCATGCATCCATGCATCCTCAAATCAGTA